TATTTATTTATTTATTTATTTATTTTTTCCCCTCAATACCCCGCACTTTTGGATGGAAGGTCCAAAGGTGCAGGGATGTTTGTCTGTTTTACTTACTATTGTATCGCCAGTGATTGGCACATAGCAAGCAATAGTTTGTTAAGTGAATGAATGAAGGAACGAACCACGGACAAGGGAGCTGCGGAGAGGACCGAAGTGTCGTCCCGGTTGCAGGCAGACAGAGCTGACTCTCAGTTTCTCCCCTTCTCTCCCGCCTCCGCCCGGAATGCCGAGCGCCCTGGAAGGAGGCGGAAATGAGCGCGCTCAACAGCCCTCCAGCCGGGTGTTTACTTAATTAGGGCCTGTATCCCCAGGCTCGTTTGTGTTTAACTGTCCGCCTAATGGCTTCATCTGGCTCCTGGCAGGCGGAGAGGAACCTGCGAGGCGACGGTAGGCGGGGCCCTGGAGTACCTTCTGGGACCTGCCGCGCCACGTTGTCCCCCCTGCGCGGGTATCTACCTCCCCTCCCGCCCGCAAAGCGACCCCTGCGGAGAGCGAGGCGAGCACCTCAGCCAGCTTCCTCGGGTGCTTTCCTGCGCTTTGTCTACCCTAAACCCCCACCCCCCCACCTGCAGGGACCACAGACCCAACAACCCAGCGCTCCGGTGATATCAGATGCCAATTGCTCGCTACAGCATGAGCCGTGACACTAAAGGATTACAGGGTTTCTCATTCTCTTGGTGGGGGGATGTAAGGGTGCTCCAGAGGAGAGAAACGGGCTCGCGAGGCGGCGGCGGCGCCGCACCCTAAAGCAGTAATACCAGGAAACAGTTGGGCACTTGCTCTGTGCCGGGTACTGAGTTTAGCGTTTTAAACGTGTTAATTCAATCCTCGTCTGTATGTATGAATTCATTTAATCCTAATAGTTGGCAGATGTAAATAGCTCCACCTGGCGCATGTAGAGCTATGGCGCAGAAGGGTTAATTCACTTGCTTGAGGCCACAGCGCTGTAAGTGGCGCTGCAGCCCCTGTTGGTAAGGCCCGCAGCGCGCCCCAAAGCCCGTGCGCAGCTGGAGGAAGGACTCCCACGGTCGCAGCGCAATCGGCCCTCCTTTTTTAGCCTGCTACAGGCCTGATGGTGGGAAGGACCAGGAGACCACCACCTTAGTCCTCGAGGGCCAAAGAATCTATAATTAGAGACTTAAATCTCCTCTTCAAACCCCCAAACCTGAGCTGGAGAAGTGGAGGAAAAGGGAGAGGCCTCAGGGAACAAAAGGGTGGGAAGAGGGCGCGTAGGGTGGAGCGACCGAGGCTCAGGGCAGCTTCTGTGTCCAGGGCCCACTTGTGCGCCGGGAAGAGAAAAGCACTGGGGGTCCGCCGCGTGTCTCCCAGGAAGGGTGAAGGAGAGCCGTGTTCAGGGAAGCTCGCTGGAAGGCTGCTTTAGGCGGCAAGCAGTTTTTGCTTAGGTTATATTCAGTATTCAAGACCAATTAAAAAGAGCCGCGCGTGTTTTTTTGTTTGTTTTTTTAAATGCCTTTATTTAAGTTGAGAAAGTGGTATGTTTTATGCGGGGGGGAGGGTGTGAGGTGTTGCTGGAGACTATGAGGCTAATAACCACCCCTTTGCCTTGAGCCCTTTGACGCCACCATGGCTGCCGACTCTGGGGCCGTCTCTCCCAGCCTCCCTTTGCCCTGCTGTGCAATGGGTCTTCTGCAAGTTACAGCAGATTTTACAACGCGGTCCTTCGCCGCTCACTGCCAGTTTTTAACTCTCGGAGTCCTCGGAGCGGGCCGGCGTGGGAGGTGGAGCACGAGGCAGGGGCCGACCCCGCTGTAGCCGGGTGTCAAAGTTTTGCGTAACATCGCCTCGGGGTGGGGGGAAGGGGGGGCATGAATGGGGAGTCTCTGTTTCCTGCCAGGTTCGGCTGCCTCTCCACCTTTTCCAGCTATAGCCGCAAGACCCAGAAGCATTTCTCTTTGCTTGCCCCAGAGGCTGAAGGGTGGGGTGGATTTCTTGTTTTGTTCTCGAACCCAGAACCTTTGAGACGGCAGAGTCCCTGCCAGGAGCAGCTCCCGAAAAGCCGAGAAAACAAGAGAGGACCAGAGGGGCTTCGAGGGTGCCCGGACCGCGCCAGCCACCGCCCCACCTGCGAGGGAGGCGGGACCTTGCGGCGCCGGACCAATCAGCACCTACCTGCTCTCACCTGGGCTCCTCCCGCTGGCTCCCGAGAGCCACGGTGCTCAGAGCAGTGCCGAGCGCTTAGCGGAGCGGTCACGGCCGCTTTTCACCCCTCTCTCTCCAGCAATGGGGCTCCCTAGCGGGTCTCTCGCATCCCTCATCTTCCGCCTCTTCCTCCTGCTTCAGGTACCCCACCTACTGCCTCTCCCTTCCCTGGTCAGGACGCTCTCCGGGGGCGGGCGGGCAGGGTCCGCATGCGGCGGTGGCGTCGGGGAGAACGTCGGGGTGGCTGGGCTCCTTGAGGCCACAGTATCCTGGGAAGCCCGTAAGGAGTCCGGGGATGGGTGTGCAGGGCCAGGCACGCCTGTGACTCAAACCTCCCCCTTTCCCCGTTCCTCCCTCAGGTGCAGGTTTGGTGGCTGCCGTGCGCGGCCTCCGAGCCTTGCCAGGCGGGCTCCGCTGGTGCTGAAGTGACCTTGGAGGCGGGAGGCGCGGAGCTGGAGCCGGGCCAGGCTCAGCGGAAAGGTAAGACCCTCCGGGAGCCCGCCCCGTGCAACCGCCGGGCGGGTGGAAACCGCACGTGGTCAGCTCCGGTGTGGCCCGCGCGAGAGGGGTCCAGCCTGGGCGGGGGGCTTCTGGCGCCGCCTCAGGTATGGGGGAGGCGCAGAAAGCATCTCGGGGGCTGGGACGTCGGTGGGCGGCTGACGGGGAGGACCGGAGAGCGTAGCGCCCTCTGCCGTCCAGGCCCTCCTTGCCCCGCTGCGGCGGCTTTTCCAGGCGGCTGAGCTAGCCCCGCGGGTCTGCGAGGCTCTCCCCCGCTGGCCCCAGCGGAGGAATGCGCCGTCCACATTCTTCCCCCAGCCCCCGCGCAGGTGTGGGGATGAACCGTGCCCCGGGCAGCCCCCTTCGCCCCTCTCGGGCCCCCTTTGTGTACCATGCTTTGTGTCTCCGACAGACAGACCGGGTCTGTTTCTCTTCTTCGCGCTCCCCTCCCCCGCCCCCCTTCTTCCCCTGCAGCTGGAATGCACTCTTAACCCTGCCCTTCCCGGAGGGTCTGCGCCCCTGCAGCCTGCCTGGAAACCGGGAGTTGGCACACCTGGACTGGGGCCATCGCGCACTGAGGACACCCCCGCTCCTCCAGTGCCTTGGAACTGGAATGTTAGGGCAGTCGGGGGGGTGGGGGGTCCCAAGCCGGAAAGTCTTGAGCTGAGGGGGCGGTGGATGGGAGATCAAAGCACATTTTTGATCTCCCAATTACTTGTTTACCCTCTTTAGTTCAAAAACTTGAGAGTAGGGGGTGGGGATCACTTTGGTACGGAGAACCAGTTTGTTCTGAGACCCAGGCAGCTGCCCGCTGATGGGGGTCTCTTTCCTTGCACTTGGAGGAGGGGGTTGCAGCTTCTCCAAACTCAAGTTCTTAAACAGAAGTGTAACTCAGGATCCTTGAGTGGGGTTCCGGAGGATTCTTAACCTGTAAAATTGTTGAAGAGCTGTTGTATGAATTTTTCTTGGGAGGTGATCTACGCTTTACCTGGCTTTCAAACCAATTATGAAAAGCTACCACCTAGCATTTTTCTCAACCCCCATCAGCATACCCCTCACCCCAGGTACAAATTCCCTCAGTGAATGCAGGGGAGGGGGGTTGCCGATGCCCAGGGGGCAGAATGGCTCTCCTTTGTTTCTTCAGAAGAGGATTGGAGGCCTTGAGCCTGTGGAAGCCCTTTTCCCCTCTCTTTTCCTGAATAACTGCAGATTGACGAAAACAATTAACACTCAGGCTAGGCCAGGCTCCTTAAACTCTTGGCTGTAGGGAGCAGAGGAGGCATTAAGAGGCCATGCCTCATAAACTTTTAAATTCTTGCGCATGGGTTTATTACTGACTGGCTAACAAACTGCAGCTCAGCCAACCTGTAAAAATGTTAACTTGGGCAGGGCCCCAAATCCAATTCCGGCTCCCTGAGGAAGCCTTATTGCTAACCAGAGTGCTGCTAAATCTGTACCCCTCCCCCTTGTTGTCAAGTTCTTTGACTAAGTTCTTGGAGTGCAAGCTACCGTTTTGAGTGTCGTCTGCCTTATCTTTCTTACTGAAGCAAGAAATACCAGATTGACTGTCACTTCACTAAGCTTGAGGTTGGTGGGGGGAAGTGGTGATCTGGTTTTCAATTTCATGGTCTGGTTGGCGAGTGCTTCCTGGTGACATCAGGCATTTTAAACCTTTTGAGAAAATTCTGCGTTCTCGGATGTGTGGTTTAGGATTGTGAAAAGGGTGGGTTCGTGCCAGGAGCACACCTGGGTTATAAAACAAAGGGTGGGTTCATATGCTTGGCTAACTTTGCACTTCCCTGCAACATGACTAGCCCTTAAGAGCAGCCTTCCCGTGAGATAGACTGCCGCCTTTTTTAAGTAAAAGCAAGTTTCTGGGCCCAAGTGATCCCATAAATTAGGGTGCCCAAACAAATAATATTGGTACTTTCCCCCTTAGTCATTAGCTGCTGGCATCTTTCTACCTCCCCACCTCCACCCCAGCTTCCCATCCTCAATACACAGGATGGATCCAGCCCTGTTGAAAGGGTTATCCTGAGGGGACACACAAACTCGCAAGTCTGGCCAAGCAGACAACAAAGTTTCCATATTGCCAAGGAACCACTGCCCCTGTTCTCCCCTGGGTTATAAATATCACAGGTGTCTATGAAGTTGAGCTCAAAGAAATTATCTGATATAATTAATACCTTGTTTGTATGTGCACTTCCCTCTTCAAAGCATTTCCACAACCCTGAGCTCGCTTAATACCTCCTGATGTTCTCTTGAAGCTGGTAAGGCAAATATTAAACAACTGCAGCTCTTAATTTGAGGTGGAACTTCAGAAAACCTGTATCCCAGCCCTGCTGGAGCTTTTAAAGGTGGAGAAACGGAGGGACAACTTAATGGATTCAATTTGCTTGGCTAAACAGCTTGCAAGCTCCCTTGAGCACCACCGACATGACTTTTGCCTGTAGGTTTATGCCCAGGACCTGCTACTTAATAGGATGCCCAGTGGGTATTTGCATGATTCATGACCATCCTGTGAGGGGTCTGCCCATTTTAGGGGTGAAACCTGAGTAGTTTTACGGCTTTACTAAAATCGTCACTGCAGTAACCAGCTGGGACTTGAATGGAAGTTCCTGACTCCCAAGTCCCCTGGCATTTTTTTTTTTACTACCAGGAAGTGGGAGGTGGGTGAAATGGAGGTACAGCAGGAATGTTCTCTTGCTCGAGCCTGCAGTCTGGGATCCACTTTCCTTCAACTGTGGTCTGGAAGCAAAGACAAAGGAGAGGTGGGAGGAAGGACTTGCATAATATTAGGGCAGTGATTAAAAGTGAGTGACCTAAAGTGGGTTATAAGTCCTTATGGGTGAACAGTTGAGAGAGGGAGCTTAATTACCGTACAAGAAATCCAGTGCTTCATATGATCCCTCGGCAGGTTCAACTCACCTTTAGTCAGCGTTTGGGTAACTTCTGACAGAATCTGACTGAACATGAGTTAACTTCGAGATGGTTTCGCTTATTTCAACTTGTATAAAAATTGCCTTTTGTTTTGGAGCCCCCATTCTGGTCTATGTCCTCTGTTTATGTTTATTCTTTCAGTAAACATATTTAGCACCTGTGTGTATTGGGCACTGTTCTAGAACTGCCGCTGTAAAGCAATGAACACAACTAAGTCCCTGGCCTTGGGGAGCTTACAACCTAATATTATTTTTGTGCTTATCACTGACTGCGTTGCAAAACAGGTGATGGTATTTTCCCCTTAGCTGTCAAATGGGGGTAAGGAACTTGACATGAGGTCACTGGGGCAGTCAACAGTCAGGCCAGGATTTAAACCCAGAGGGATTTCACAATGCCTGATAAATCTGCCTCTGAAGAATTTGAGCCTGGCTGGCTGCTTTTCTGGCTCAGCAGTAGAGTAGGGTTGGTTGCCAAAGGCAACTAACATCACTGTTAGCTTGTGCCTGGGGAACGGGTCTCAAATCTCTAGACTCCTTCCCAGCTCCTCAGAAGGTGCTGTTCCTAGGTTACTTAGCACAGGGTGCCCACACCTCTCTGCTGTGTGAGGAAGGCATGGCTTATGTTGAGCAATGAGTTTCTAGGGCTAGAAACTAGCTTTCCTGAGTATTTGGAGGGTGATGGAGAAGGGGGAAGAGAAGGGCCTCCCCAGCCCAAATCAGTTGAGTCTTTGGTTCTGGGACTGAAACGCCTCCATTCAGAGAACCACTGTTGTTTGAAGAATAATGTGGAGGAAAGTGCTTGATGAACATCACTGAAAACACCCATGTACCTAGCACACAGATTAAGAAACAGTGCCACCCTGGCTGAGTAGCTCAGTTGGTTAGAGCATCATCCGGATACACCAGGATTCCGAGTTTGATCCCCGGTCAGGGCACATGCAAGAATCAACCAATGAATGCATTAACAAGTGGAACAACGTATCAGTGTTTCTCTTTTCCTCTCTGTCAAATCAAGAAATAAAAAAAAGTTTTTAAAAAAGGAACAGCATTACCAACACCTCAGATGCCCCTTCCTTCCCAGTCTTTCCCTTCCTCCCAAGAAAATTATTCTGATTCTAATACCATAATTTAATTTGCCTGTATTTGAACTTTATGTAAAAGAGTCATTGAATATCCTCTTGGATCTGGCTTCTTTACTGCATATGTGAGATTCTTGCATAGTTCTGGATGCTGCTGTAATTGATTCTCATTGTCATATAGTCGTCATTATGGGACTTTCCACAGTTCTGTTGATGGGCGTTTGAGGAGTTTCCATTTTTTGGCGATAATGACTGGTGCTACTGTGAACACTATTGTTCAAGTCTTTTGGTGAAACTGTAAAAGGGATCTGTTAGGTACATACCTGGGAGCATAATTGCTGGGTTAACTGAGACTCTCAGTACTGTACTGAGAAGTCAGCTTTTCTCTGTCTTGAAGTAGCTGAGGCTCTTCTGGATTCAGCCACCTGCCCTCCCCAAGCAGTCTCCTTACCAGACCCATCCCTTCTGGATTCTTGCTTCTCATCTGGCCCTATGCTATGAGACAAGTCTTTATTATGTACTTGGTAGCTTCCTTTATCTTGGGCGAGAAATCTTTCCTGTTATTTGCCGTGAAGCTAATGCTTGTACTTTCCCCCCAGATTAGAAAGGAAATCTCCAAAGGGCCCTGAATTTCTTGGGTGAAGATTTTTGTCCTGGCCAGTGTGTGTGGGTGGGCAGCAGCCTCCTCATATGAGCAAGGCTGTCAAGTCCCGTTCCTCCCTCAATACAGAAGCAGTGAGGTACCTGAGATCCAAAGCCAAGTTGAGGGGTCATTCAGCCAACAAATATCTGAATACCTACTGGGTACTAAAGTGAGCGTCACCCACAGCTCCTTAACTTCAGTGGGCTCCTCTGATTAAAGGACAAAGCAGATCAGTCACCAGGAAATTTTAAGAGTGAATCCTTCATTAAGCAAATATTTACTGAGTACTTACTAAGTCCCAGGTACTGTTCCAGGTGCTGG